TATTATCAGTTTCAAATTATATTATTATTTAAGCGAATATAAAATGATAAGTCCCATGATGGTWTTCATACACCCCCTCCCCACCCATGAGCACCTAATTTAAAATCAATTTACTATAAACTATTTATTATATAAATCACTAAAGAAGCGGGTAAGTAAATTTCGCTCTGCTGTAGAGTATAGTATTTACAAGTGTGTTAATGATTATGGATGGTATTAAATTTGAATTCAATGATATATATCATTGTATACGAAAATCGATTCTGAGCGGAAACGGTTTGTCTGTCTTGGATATTTTATAGTTTTGTAATCTGTAATAAATTTTTAAGTTTTTTGATCCAATGAATAAAATTTTATTGACATTTATAGAATAAAAAACTAAAAAAACGGAAAATTTCAAATGTCTATAAATAACTTAAAAATAGTTAAAATATTTTGAAAATATTATCAAATACAGGAATCGATAAAATAAACATATGGTGTAAATTTCAAGTTTCAACTGTTATTCGTTTTTAAATATCAACAAAATAAGAATATCAGTACAAGAGAATAAATTGAGTGAATATCCAATGTTTTAATTCAAATGCTCATAAAATTTAATTTGACTTTCTGGTAGACATTTTTTATTTAATAAAAGTAGGCAAACCCATGAGGAATCTTCTATTGAATATTCAAACTTKATATTTAAAAAGATAAATTTTTATGTATTTTGTCAAAATTCGAACTTCAAATTATTATTAAAAAATTGTGACTTTTTATTTTTAATGTTTTTAACTAACATTGTAAAAATCTATTAAGAGCCTTATATTAAATTTTGAAGCTATTTTACCCAACTAATAAAATTTTACTGTCATTTATAAAAAAAAAAAAAAAACTATAAAGATCGAACATTTCAAATGTTTATAAATAACTTAAAAAGATTTGAAAGGTATAAAAAAAATGATCGAGTATAGMAATTGCCAGTATAAACGTTCAGTAAAAATTGCATGTGTCTWTGGTAATTTTTTTTTTAGAGTTACAYAAATATCAAAATTTGATTTTCTCAAAAAAATTGATTTTGTGTAAAAATTCCCGTTTTTCTTTAATTTTTTTCCCCAATGCTTTTGAAAACTACTGGGAATTACAAAATTTGATCTCCCCAATGCTCCAATGAAATTCASTWTCCGACCAGAAAAGCTATTGAAGTTGAAAATCGAAGCATTACTTCGACAACTTATCGTGCACACAGACACAAAACAATTAAAATATCCTCTAATTAATTAATCTATTTATTAAACTGCTTACTTTTCCGCTTTAAACATGACATTTGCATTTGTGCCAAGARTTTGATAATTGGAACTCTGGGTGGGTATAAGTCAAAATTGTATAATTACTATACAATATATGTGATTTTGTTTTTGTATAAATATAAATTCAAATATATAATTTAATATACTTTGATAATATATWACCTGGCTAACCTGCAGGCTAATTGGTCTCTACTAGGTGTTATAATTTTCAATAGATACACTCATACCTTCCAACAAAATTATTTCTATTAATTTCTACCAAAAGTAATGATTTTTTTAATAATTAAGTATTTCATACATACGTCAATAACAGTGTTATAAATACAACGTTAC